AGCCTGCACAAGTGTTTTGTTCGAGTCGAAAATGTTAAAGGAGCAGTGTGGACAGTGGATGAAGTAGAGTATCAGAAGAGAAGGTCACAAAAGATAACAGGGTACGTTGGTGTTTGGTTTTGTTCAACTCAGTTGTTCTGTAATTCTGTAACCTGAGTGAGTCCTCTGTGTACTACAACCTGACAGACAAAGCGAGCACTTATGTGGAGAATACATAGCGAGCTAATAGCTAGGCTGCTGCATTCTCTTCAGTGAGCTAACAGTTATTTCATTTTTGTGTAAACGCTGTTTTCTGTGCATTCTTTGCCTGCCTGACTTCCCCACGTAGTTTGCTGCAAGGAGAGCGATAATGGTTTTGTTTTTTCCTATGTATTTCACCATATGTATGTCATTTTAATTCCATCTACCGTAAGTTCTCCTACTATATATTAAAAATAGCCCTGTGTACATATGTTGCCCATGTGTTAAGAGTTTCATATGCACTTGTTTTTACTGTAAACCTTTGACAGAAGTGGGAGTTGTTCAAGGTCAGTTTGGAATATAGGTATCATACACTACAGTACTGACCTCAAAAATATCTTCTTGATGAGGGTAGTATTCATGAGAAGCCTTCACAGGAGGACCTTTGGCATGCTTACTGCCCTACTTTCAAATTAATCCCATGTCAGTATGACTGGTTCTGTGGATGCTTTTTATTCCTTGAGAGTATATAATTAGTTTTGATAAAGCCATTCAGATAAAACCAAAGGTGCAGAGACAAGAGCCAGAGGTTTTTCTTTGCAGGAAGGTATTCTATTTCTGTAATGCATCTGTTTGTAGACAGTGACCCACATGACCTCTGGAGTCATACTCTGCACTAATTTTATTGAAAATATAATTATATGGTTATCTAGCATATAGCATTTAATCTATATGCTATATGATAGCATATATGGTATGTTTGATTTGCTGGAAACTAATTGATCCACTGTATTGTTCTCATACAGTTATTTATACATTATTGCAGCCTCATTTTTTTGTGAGGGAAGAGTAAGATCTTTTTTATTCAACACCCTTCTGTAGTTATATGTAACATAGTAACAGTGTACCCGTGTTAGTTCAGAAAACCGAAACCAAATACAGCAAGAGAGATGTAGCAAATGTGGCAGAGACAGATGTTCTACAAATTTTAAACCTATTTCTGTTAAATTCTTTCAGTGAGATGAGAACCTTTGTGCTCTTGTAGCAAATTTTCACGTGGGCCTTATTATAACAAGAGTTTTGCTTTTCTGATGCAAGTAAATCAGTGTTCTAACAGGTTGAGCTCCTTCCCTCCCAACTTCATTTCATTTTTCTTTCCTAAACTCTGGTCTTCTGAGCTGACAAACCAATCCATTAACCCAATGAACCAGACAGGATGTCTGCTTGTTTTTAAACTTTGAAAAATCGTTTATTTTCAGAAGCCCAACGTTAGTGAAAAACATACCCACCAGCTTAGGCTATGGAGCAGCTCTTAATGCAAGCTTGCAGGTAAAAAATATGAAATAATTCTTTTTTGTACACACTATCTATCTTCTTATGTGTGATGTATTTTATTTCTGCTTATACATTGGTATAGAATTACGTGGTATGTTTATGTGGACCTGATGGTCATTCTATATAACTGGGTTTATCAGCCAAGTAAGTTGTGTTACCTAGCACTGCAAGTAGTAGTTCTTATTCGTGCTACTTTTGATGTGAAGAAGCAAGAAGGACACCCTGTGGCAAAATCTGGAACATTCAGTTTTGCTGCAAATGTTAGATTGATAGAAGCTTTTGCAAATGCATGTGGATATGCATTAATATTTATCCAAGCTGTCATAAATGATTTCACATCATAGTGTTGGGGAACATGGTGCTCATGGCAAAAACTTTAAAGTTTAATTATAATATATAATTTTTATGCAGAAGAGGCAAATGTCAGGACTTTTTTATTTTGATTTAAGTTCTGGTCATTTTTTAAAGTATAGCAGCTGCCTGCATTATAAAGGAGCCATACATTGTGTGGAAGGGCAAAGGGGTTAAGTGTAATTCAAAGTCAAAAAATGATGTAAAACTAGAAAGTGCCATGAATATCAGAACATAATTAATAATGGAAAATCATGAAACCTAAGCAAAAGAAAGAGTAAACCAGAAGTAGAAATGCTGCTATTTACAGAATGTGAAAATAATTGGAAATGCACAAAATCCTTCTGACCACTTCAACAAATACTCAAAATTAGCTGTTCTGTGTGTGTATATTCCTAAATGTTCATACATGTAAGAGTGCTATGTATATGTATGGGCTAATAATTTGGTTTTACTTTTCCTTTTGGTAGGCTGCACTGGCAGAGAGCAGTTTACCATTGCTAAGTAACCCGGGACTGATAAATAACGCATCCAGTGGCTTACTGCAGGCAGTCCATGAAGATCTCAATGGTTCGCTGGATCACATTGACAGTAATGGAAACAGCAGTCCAGGCTGCTCTCCTCAGCCTCACATGTAAGTGCAGTCAGCTCTCTTTCAAGAAAAAATGCCTTAGTCTAAGACACAGTATTATTCAAAAGAGCTTTGAAAGGTGGTAAGTGAAACATCTGGAGCTATATATTTGAAACTAAACATTTATATTAAAACATTTAAATAGATGAGTCTTCATTTACTTTGTAGTGATTGCTATAAGCTTTTTTTTTCCTTTTTTTTTTTTTTTTTTTTTTGTAAAACCTCATCAATTTGCTTGCAAGCTCTGAACGTAATGGGAGGCTGATCTCTGTGGTCATTTTCAGAGCCTGGTTTGTAAGGTATAGACAGAATGTTCAACACTGGAATTAGTTGTAATTTTAACTATGACTCTCCGAACCATTTATGAACTGTAGTAGAGATATTGCCCGTTTATACAAACCATAAAATGCAAAGTTTAACTGTTGCCCACAGTTTACATAGAAGCCAGTAAAGTGTAACTTTTTGCCTGTCATATAAATCAGTGTAATTACGTATTCAAGTTTAATTACTGGTGCGTCTGTATTGGCAAGGTTTATATGTTATATTTTATGCAAGACTACGATTCCTATTAATATTTAGCAGCTAACTATATCATTAATTACTCTAAATTCTTTCCCCTACCATCTTTTTAATGGAGCTGAGAGAGTGGAAGTATTAAAAATTGATGTATTGTGGATTTCAGAAATGTGTCTGAAGCTTTAGAAATGCCTGGCCTTAATCAGTGGTGTCAAACATGGCAGTTTCTTGTTTACTAAATAGTAAAACATGTATCTTGGAGGTATTGTTTCCCAGGTTATTTATATAATAATTAGCAGTGTGATATGTAAGTAGACTTTGTTTTAAGTGTACTGTAAGATGATTTTTTTAAGTGTATCTAAGATGATGTCTTTTTTTTAGTGTTTTAAAAAGCTGATCTCATTTGCCTTTTTTAATTCCATTTTCTCTTTCCCATTTTAAATGTTCATTTTAATTGCTAGAGTGGTATATTTAACAGTAAGAGTAATTGAGACCAGACTGCCTTTTTTACTTATGCTCTGATGTGTTGAGAATCCATTTTGATCTGACCTTTTTTAGGAAAAATATTTTACTGATTTTTTTCTTCTTTTATTTGGCATGTTAATATATCTGTGATCACATAGAAATGTTTATTGTCATGCATTTAATTGTTTTATTGCACATTTGTTCTACTTGCCTTTGAAAATAATACACTGTGAACATTCATGTATTTTATCAGGTTCCAAACCATTACTTTTTCAAAATGGAAAAATTTGTCTTTTGGAAGTGTCTTTAGATGTATTAAATAATACAAAAGAAGTAATAAAACTTGAAGTAGAAAGAACATGAATATATGCTCTTGAGAGTAACACTACTCTAAAACAAGTAAAGTGAGCAATCAGACAAAAGTTTTTATATCCCATGCTTGATGCTATCAACCATGCAGTGGGTAGCTTGAGGCCTTTTACTTTTAGCAGTTCTCCTGAGTATGCTAATGCTCTCTTCCTGTATAAAATGCCAAGACAATAAAACTTTAAAGAGCAAACAAGAGTTAGATCATGTGTGTTAAAAACAGCTACTTTACAGAAAAGAATGACACTTGCTATTAAAGTTGTTTTGTAAGTGTTAGGCAGATCTGTTTACATATCCTATGTTCTGTCTGCCATTCTGCTGGATAAACTGTGATATCTGTGCATATGATTATGTAGATATGGCTACAGTTATAGCTGTGTTTATAGCTAAAATAGTGCATATTGAAGTAATTCTTGCCTATAACAAAGCCAAATACCCTAAGTTACACCCTAACTCAAGATTGAACCTTCCTCTCTCATTTTTATGATGTCATTTGTCAAAATAGGCATTTTCAGGACTTGCTATGTTGATTCCTTTGAAACTTGTGAGGACATGTTGCTCAGTTCTTTATAGATTGAAGCAACAATATGTAAATGCCTGAGACACAACTGGAGAAAGAATCTATGCACATTCATCCCTTGCAGCAAACTTGGTGCAAGAAGTCTGGGCTTCTGTGAGACCAAGTGCCATTAGACAAAAGATGCCCACTCACTTGTGACATTTTTTCCTTTTCTTTGGGGGGAAAAAAGGGAATGAATGCAATCTGCAAGGAAAGACCAGGGTAGGGAGAGGCTTGCATGAGAGGCAGAGGACCAAGAAAGAAGAGACCTCTTCCTTGCCTCCATGACCACATTGGTCAGGGACCCTCATTTTTGTTACATAAGAAAATGAGAAAATAGTATAGATCAAGCAAAACAGAATAAAACAAGTGAGGGATATGGCAAACAACGAAGACACAATTTAAATTTTGCATTGCCCACACATAACATAATCTCTTTTTTCTTTTTTTTTAACTGAAAAATAATTAATAAACTAGTCAAAAAAAAGGATTTTACTGGCACAAGCACCTATTTACTTTTAGTATCCTGAGAAGGTTCACCCAGGAAGTGTGGGTTTTTCTCCCTTAGAGAAGGGTTCTTGAGGTCTGATAATTACTACACTCACCTATAAATTTGGAGGCTCTAATAATCTCCAAGCAGATTAAACCTCTATCTCCTGATTCCCAGGAGGTGGCAGAAGCCACAACAGGAGTTGTATGCTGAGCAATGTTGCCTGCCATCTTGTAGGTGACACATGCAGGAACAATGGAGCAAGGTATTAGAGAAGGAGGCAAGAAGTTGTGTGCAATTTAGAGATCAAAGCATTCAGTTGGGAAGGTGCAGAGTTTGGATTCTAAGCAAGCTTCTAGAGAGAGTCATTTGTTTGGTATTTCAGCAGCAAATGCAAAATGAGTCCCAGTGACAAAGTCAAGCATCTTAGTTGGGCGTTTGGTTGTTAAAATTGTACTGACTCTCATTTTATCAGATATGATAAAACCACATGATAGCATACCTGTCTTATTTTGGGATGATCTTATTAATGTTTTAGCATATTTTGTGTGTATGTGCAGAAGTCAATGTATCTGTGGTTGAGCACTGGGACATTATTAGAGACATTGATTTCTGTTACTGTAGTGCCTGAGCGACTGGGTGTCAGAAAGTGGGGAAATTGTTTCAGTTCTTGGATATGAACCTAGTACTTCACATCTGGTTTTGAAGAGACACAGTAGTAAGAGTGGTTAGAGTCATTAATTTACCCATCTGTGACGAGGTATCTTAACACAGGCAGGCAAAACAACCTGCTTAGAAAATAGTCTCTGTTCATTGACTAGAGAAAGACAGCAGGTCCAGCAGGTCTATAACTTCAAGTAACTGTATCACACTTCAACACTTGTTAAGGGCAGTGAGTCCATCCAGTGTATTCAGGGCACTTTAAGACCTCCAAAATTTTGGCCTCACATAATGAAATATAATCTGCTCCATTTTTTATGCTTTTGAATACTTAAAAATGCCACAGTAAGTTGTAGGTGTTTAACCATGGCCTGGTAGCAGGGATAACGCTTATATTAATAATTACATAAAGCATCTGAAATTTTATTCTGTGTGCCTCCCAATTTCCTTTATCCATCTGACAAAAGGTGGCAATTCCATAGTCCAGGATGCAGCATATGAGTAGTGGAATCTTAAGTCCTAGATTTTTTTTCTATATTTCAGCAGTATTAAATCCAAGTTCTGTCTTTGACTGGCTTTCAAAACTGATTCCTGGTGTGTAGGCTCTGAGTGCTTCCTTGACATAAATATTCACTGAGAAAATGTGTTACTTATTGTAGGCGTATGTGTTCTGTTCAAAATTTAAATTTCTTCTAAGATCAGTTGTCAACAATCAATATCAGGCAATTGTATTTTAAGTCAATGCTTAAGACTGTTTTTTCTTTCATTATTTCAACATGGACTGCTTCTCTGAACTTATTGTGAGTTAGAGCTGATAAGCAACAGGTTTCAAAGCAACAAACAGAACTGAAGATGTTTAATGCACAAAGATTCATTATTTATGTAAAACTACGTGCTGTTAATCTTGCATAACAATTGTACATGGATGTAACTCTAAGTTCCACAGTACACGTCTTTGGAGTATAAACACAGAATTCTGAACTAAAGGAAACAAATCCAAACAAGTACAGTTAAAGGTGGGTTGTGGGAAAAAAAGTTTTAGTATTCCTGTAGAAACAACAGCATTGGATGAGGCATGAGGTGATGCTTAGGAACAATAATGACAGTTCATGCATTATTGAAAACACAACTTCTTTTTAACCTGTATGTAATAGCCAGCATACTGCTGAAGAGCTTTGGTGGGATTTGAAGGTCAGTTCTTTCCGAAGTAATAAATTTATATTTTTAAATGAAGATCAGGATCGTAGTGAAATCAACTTTGTGCTATTACTTTTCCTGTCTCTATTATACATCCAAGAGTGGGGATGGCAAATAAGGGATGGAAATCAAGTTCAGCTATTTTTCTGGTGTTTGTCTCTGGATTCTTACTAGACTGATTACACTTCAGTGATTATTGCAAGTGGCACAGACCCGGGTGTTTTATCACCAGAATATTTAGCACATCACTAGCCCCTATGGTCATGGCAAATGCATCATGCAAAATGGCACTTTGCTTCCTTGTATGATCCTGGCGGGGGAGAAAGGTACAATTTTAATCTGCAAAACTCTTCATAGCATTTGAGGAAACTGAAAGAAATTGGTCATGAGAAAACAAGGAAAATGGCAGACTGAGAAAATGTAGTCTTACCATAGGAAACCAATGGGGTGATTATACCATTCTATTAAAACTCACTGCAGCTCATTGAATAAGGAATGGAAGGAGTAAGAAAATGTGATAGGGTAAACAGATATCCCTCTGGTGAGATTTTGAGGAAGGGGCTTGTCATCATGGATATCTCCCTGCTCACTCTGTGAGAGTGTAGACTGACAATGCAATTAAACTCATTCCAACCGATTTACCAAAATAATCTAGTTCCTAACAGCAGATCCAGAATCCTGGAGTTAACACCATTCTGATTTTTGGAATTTTAGTTGTTGACAGCTTTTTTAGAAAAGTGAAAACAACAA